AAAACTGAGGGAAATACTTACGCTACTTTGCTGCATCATCCCTTCCTCTTCGGGGAAAACCAACGCAGTGCTCAAGAGGTAGCAACACTTAATTGGAATTTCACAAAGCACATACCTTGATAAAGTTTTGAAGAAGTTCAAAATGGATCAAGCTAAGAAAGGGTTCTTGTCTGTTTTACAAGGTGTGAAGTTGAGTAAGACTCAATGCCCGGCCATTGTAGGAGATAGGGAGAAAATGAAAAAGTGTTCCCTATGCTTCAGCCATAGGCTCTATTATGTATGCAATGTTGTGCACCAGACCTGATGTGTGCCTTGCTATTAGTTTAGCAGGGAGGTACCAAAGTAATCCGAGAGTTGATCACTGGACAACGGTCAAGAACATCCTGAAATACCTGAAAAGGACAAAGGATATGTTTCTCGTTTATGGAGGTGACAAAGAGCTCATTGTAAATGGTTATGTCGATGCAAGCTTTGACACTGATCTGGACGATTCTAAATCGCAAACCGGATACGTGTCTATATTGAACGGTGGAGTTGTCAGTTTGAGCAGTTCTAAACAAAGCGTCGTGGCGGGATCTACGTATGAAGCGGAGTACATAGCTGCTTCAGAAGCAGCAAATGAAGGAGTCTGGATGAAGGAGTTCATATCCGATCTAGGTGTCATACCTAGTCCATCGGGTCCAATGAAAATCTTTTGTGACAATACTAGTGCAATTGCCTTGGCAAAGGAATCCCGATTTCACAAGAGAACCAAACACATCAAGAGACGCTTCAATTCCATCCGCGATCAAGTCCAGGTGGGAGACATAGATATTTGCAAGATACATACAGATCTGAATGTTGTAGACCCGTTGACTAAGCCTCTCTCATGAGCAAAACATGATCAACACCAAGGCTCCATGGGTGTTAGAATCATTACTATGTAATCTAGATTATTGACTCTAGTGCAAGTGGGAGACTGAAGGAAATATGCCCTAGAGGAAATAATAAAGTTATTATTTATTTTCTTATTTCATGATAAATGTTTATTATTCATGCTAGAATTGTATTAACCGGAAACATAATACATGTGTGAATACATAGACAAATAGAGTGTCACTAGTATGCCTCTACTTGAGTAGCTCGTTGATCAAAGATGGTTATGTTTCCTAACCATAGACATGAGTTGTCATTTGATAAACGGGATCACATCATTAGGAGAATGATGTGATTGACTTGACCCATTCCTTTAGCTTAGCACTTGATCGTTTTAGTTTACTGCTATTGCTTTCTTCATGACTTATACATGTTCCTATGATTATGAGATTATGCAACTCCCGATTACCAGAGGAACACTTTGTGTCCTACCAAACGTCACAACGTAACTGGGTGATTATAAAGGTGCTCTACAGGTGTCTCCGATGGTACTTGTTGAGTTGGCATAGATCGAGATTAGGATTTGTCACTCCGATTGTCGGAGAGGTATCTCTGGGCCCTCTCGGTAATGCACATCACTATAAGCCTTGCAAGCAATGCAACTAATGAGTTAGTTGTGGTATGATGCATTACGGAAACGAGTAAAGAGACTTGCCGGTAACGAGATTGAGCTAGGTATTGAGATACCGACGATCGAACCTCGGGCAAGTAACATACCGATGGCAAAGGGAACAACGTATGTTGTTATGCGGTTTGACCGATAAAGATCTTCGTAGAATATGTAGGAGCCAATATGAGCATCCAGGTTCCGCTATTACTTATTGACCGGAGACATGTCTCGGTCATGTCTACATAATTCTCGAACCCGTAGGGTCCGCACGCTTAACGTTCGGTGACGATCGATATTATGAGTTTATGTGATTTGATGTACCGAAGGTAGTTCGGAGTCCCGGATATGATCACGGACATGACGAGGAGTCTCGAAATGGTCGAGACATAAAGATTGATATATTGGACGACTATATTCGGATACCGGAAGTGTTCCGGGTGATTTCGGAGAAAACCGGAGTGCCGGAGGGTTACGAGAACCCCCCGGGAGAAGTAATGGGCCACATGGGCCTTAGTAGAGACAGAGAGAGGTCCGGCTAGGGCAGGCCGTGTGCCCCCTCCCCCTATGGTCCGAATTGGACTAGGGAAGGGGAGCGGCGCCCCCCTTTCCTTCTCCATCCCCTCATTTCTTTCCCCCTCCTAGTAGGAGTAGGAAAGGGGAGTCCTACTCCTACTAGGAGGAGGACTCCTCCTCCTGGCGCGCCCTGCAAGGGCCAGCCGGCCTCCCCTTGCTCCTTTATATACGGGTGCAGGGGGCACCCTAGGACACACAAGTTGATTGTTCTAAGCCGTGTGTGGTGCCCCCTCCACCATAATCCACCTCAATCATATCGTAGCGGTGCTTAGGCGAAGCCCTGCATCGGCAGCAACATCATCACCGTCATCACGCTGTCGTGCTGACGGAACTCTCCTATGAAGCTCTACTGGATCAGAGTTCGTGGGACGGCATCGAGCTGAACGTGTGCTGAACTCGGAGGTGCCGTACGTTCGGTACTTGGATCGGTCGGATCGTGAAGATGTTCGACTACATCAACCGCGTTCTCATAACGCTTCCACTTACAGTCTACGAGGGTACGTGGACAATACTCTCCCCTCTCGTTGCTATGCATCACCATGATCTTGCGTGTGCGTAGGATTTTTTTTTGAAATTACTACGTTCCCCAACAAAGATTACCAGCATTAGCATTATCTTGAGCATCTTGTGGATGTTGAACAAAGGGACCTAGAAAGACATGTTGATTAGGATGAGAATGTGCTTTCTCGGGAATGGGGTGGGGATTTCCATTGGCTGAGATGGGGCCTTCATATGGAGGACCTTCGCCAATTGGTTTTTGATGTACAATAACCACATGAAAGGACCAGGATTCACCAAGAAAGCTTTCAGTGCATGATAACAACACTAGCGGGTATATCCATTAGCTCTTAAACCTTCACTTTAATCATAATCAGTGCCCCACTACTTCTCCTTTCATCCCAAGCTAGCAGGATAGCAAAGGACTTGACTGCATTATGGATTTCAGTCAAGTTCTGCAGATCTACATGGAAAACCGCAACGAAGAGCCAAGATTCTCTACTAGGATGAAGCTTCCTCCATTTTTTCCTTCATCATGCTTCTCAACAACTATGAAAATGTCATCATATCAATGCAGACTGTTGGCTACAAGACCATCACGGATGAAAATGCTTTGAAACTAAACAAAGGCCCGCCCCATGGGACACTTCACAGTCTTATGAAACCCAACCCTCTTATGCATAGTGATGAACCCGAAGAGAATTTCTCTTACATTGGTAACATAAACTTGCCCTTCTAGCATGGGGAGGAATGAAGCAATCGCCAGGGTTTCATGTCGCCTATGAATGTGCCTGCAAACCACATGGACGCGCGCCGGACGGTCTTCAACTTGCACATCTTGATGGTTGTCAAGGAGAAAGGGGGAGGATCGAAAGGGAAGTTAGACACGGCTGGCTGAGAGTGGTGATTGTCATCTGCAGCTTGTGGTTGGAGCGGCGGAGTAGGGGCAAGGCCGCGGAGGAGGCAGGGTGGTGCTCAAATGGGAAGCAGGGGGTATGAAGAACGTTTGTAGAATGAGCCCTACTGAGTAAATGTTGAGCCTTTGATCTTGAGAAATCCGCCACCAGACAGAATTCATTTAGTTTCCTTCCTTCGATGAAGTTTACCGGAATGCCAAACTTCTTCCAGATCAAGTCCTCAAAAGACAATCCTTGTTCGAACTTTAGGTCAGAAAGCGCCATCATTTGGGAGAGTGGTCGATGCAGCCGGGATGGCCGGTAGCGATATGGTGGCCGCCATGTCCTTAGTGGACCACGGCGGTGGAGATGGCGTTGGCCGCCGCGACCGAAGCGGCCTACGGCGGAGCTATGGGAAGAGCGGCAATGCTAGATAATGTCAAGTTGTCAACTAGTGTCTCGTGGGCGTTGTTCATGTAGGAATCGCCACGTACCTAACATTACTCTTACTGCAGCTGGTCTGGCAACTTTTTTTATTTGAAAAAATATGCTTGTATTCAAATCATGACATAATACAAAGTTCTTAACCCGATCAAGCACACCCTAACACACGTGTAAAATACTAGAATAAGAGAGACCACCCTAAAACAACCAGCAAAACGCGAAGACCTCCGAAGCTCTGTGTCATCATCCCTGAACCTTGCGAGGAGACCCCTGAATACAATAATCTGCATTCAGACCCAAGCAGGTCCTCATATTCAACCATGACATAATAACTGCCATGCTGCTCCCCCACTTTTTTGCTTCGGTGCCAAAAAGACAAGGACACACATGTGCATCCAACACGCCTGCACCAGCCTTCGCTGTCTGTGGCTTTGAGTACCACTATATGTGCCCCTTCCGGATGGAAGAGAACTAGGATCCAGTGGCACCACGGCCGGGCCAACCTCCCGGGCAAAGCGGGACATTCCTCACGCAACAGCACAAAGAAGAAGAAAGAACAACAACAGAAAATCATTCCGACGAGGAAGAAGAATCTTCGTCTCCACACAACCACCACCCATCCAAGGACATCTGAGAAATTATAATTCAGTACACATCTCCGACCCCTCTCTGAGGTGATCCATACAGATGTTGAAACGTGCGTGGGATTGGAACAGTGTACAACCACATGAGGCAATGTGGAGTCCCAATCTAGTGCACAGGGGCACTGTTCAAAAAACACATGAGGCAATGGTGTTTGCTATACATAGTGTATGCTCCTTGCGTCCCAAAATAAATGTTAGTATAAAGTTGTACTAAGTTTGAGACACTTATTTTGAGACGAAGGAGTATTATATGATAGTACAACCTAAACATCCTACTACACAGTCTGTTGTCTAAAAATGTACAGGAGAACTCCTTCCCCCTCTCATAGCAATAGGCCGAGCTCCTGTTCTTTCCAGGCAAAGTGGATAACCAATTCTACAATTTGAAAAGCGCAGAGCACTTGAATTTTGCTTGAGTTCCTACAACTTCTGATCCATGCCAAAAACCACAGAACCTGCACAAGACAAAGAGAAAAAGGGGGAGCAAGTAGTAAGTACAGGAGCAGCAGCAGTAGGCAGCAGTTTTTTCCTTTGTCATGGTCAGTGTTAATGTCAGTGTTAGGACTGCAAGTTAACTTGGATACCTAGAGTTGGAAGTAGGACGGCGAGAGTTGCAACGCCCACCACTTTGATGGGTATTCCGGTGAGCACCATGTCCTTGATGGTGATGTAGCCGGTGCCGAACCCGACGACGTTGGGCGGCGAGGCGGTGGGCAGCAGGTAGGACAGCTGCGCGCCGACCGTACCGGGGACCATGAGCAGCAGAGGGTGCACGCCGATGGTGTTTCCCAGCTCCGCCAGCAGCGGCAGGACCAGGGTGGTGGCCGCGTCGTCTGACGTGAACTCCGTGATGACGGCGCTGAAGACGCACGCCACGGGCGCGATCACCAGCGGCGGCGCGCCCCTCAGGAATCCCAGCCCCTCCGAGAGTATGTCCGTCAGGCCGCTCGCCTTGAAGCCCTCGGCGATGGCGAAACCCGCGCCGAGGAGGAGGATGATGTTCCACTGCAGCTTCCGGCACTTGCCCCAGTCCATGAGCTTCTCGCCGCCGCCCTTGCCGTTGGGGATTATGAAGAGCAGAGTGGTCATCATGATCTGCATTAGTAAGACGATACAGCATATCCAGTGAGCACGTGCCACATATTTGTCTGGTCAAAACTCGAAAACTGCATGCAGGATCATGCATCGGTGCTCTTACGGTGACTGTTCCATCCCCGACTTTGCCGTGGAAGAGGACTCCCCACCCAGGGATGTCGTTCGTCAGGCTTCTCGTCATCCACAGCACAATTAGGCCCTGCACCAATTCATTTTCACTTCGTTTATTTTTGCTCAATAAGACAACCATAATGGCGTGTTAATTTTTTGGTTCAGAACTTGAGGTACAATACAAACAGATTGTAGAAACATACTCCAAAAACGGCTAGAACCATCTTCTCTGCAAAAGCCATTGGACCTGCGGAGAAGAAAGCAGAACAGCCATCAGATAACAGGTTAATAATAAGTTTAACACTGACCAGAAAGCCAAAGAGTTGACCACTGACCAGAACATGTGAAGCAACATGGTTTGACCAAGCTAGAAAAGAAAGAGAGAGCACGTACCAAGCAAGCTGAGCTCCCTCCTGAGATGGGTCCTGTCGAGGTAAGCCGACAGCGCTCTTCCGGTGTTGCTGGAGCAGTACATGAGGCAGAGCGTGACCCAGAGCGCCGCGAACAGTACAAGCGCGACGGGGAAGCCGAAAGACATCCAGGAGCTAAAGGTGATGGGCCGCTGCTCGGGGAAGTAGGTGGACCACATCCCCACCAGGATGATGTTGGCGCCCGTGCCCGTCAGCGTCGACATCCCGCCGATGGTGGACGCGTACATGACGCCGAGCACCACCGCCTTGGAGAACCGCCGGACCTCGTGCGCGTCGGCGGACGAGGACGCCGCCTGGCCGCGCGGGAACCGCTGCAGGATCCCCGTCGCCACCGGCATCATCATGACGGTGCAGGGCGTGTTGTGAATCCACATGCTGATGAACATGGTGGTGCCGCAGATGCCCAGCAGCAGCAGCGGCGGCCTCACCGGGTCCCCGCAGAAGAGCGACGTGATCTGCATGCGCGTTATACAACCTTTATTATTAGTTCGTTTTTCTTCAAGTAATCGTTCGTTCGACGATCGATCGATCGAGCGTGCGTACGTTGAGGGCGAGGCGGCGGTGGATGTTGTAGTGCTCGATGGCGAGCGCCAGGATGAAGCTACCGAGGACGAGGGAGATGACGTCGTCCATGTAGGCCTTGGCGACGGCGTCCGAGGAGGAGATGCCGAACGCCGGGAAGAGGAACAGCGGCGCCATGGACGCCACGCCGAGCGGCACGGCGTCGGTGAGCCACCAGATGAACACCCACGCCAGCACGCCCAGCATGTTGCGCGCCGCGGCGCGCCCGTGGCCGAAGTCCACGAATGCGCAGATGAGCGCCGACGCCAGCGGCCCCGCCGCGATCGCGAGGTACTTGTTGGCGAGCAGCGACGCCAGGGCCGAGCACGAGCGCCCGTCCGTCCTGCCGTCGTCATGCAGAGGCAGCAGCGGCGTCGACACGTCCTCCATCGAGCTCTCCCACTGCTGGCTGCACCGCGGATCCATGCGCCGACCGATCGCTCGATGGAAATGCACTTTCGCGTTCTCGGTCGGTTCTGTTGCTTGCCGCCTCTTGATGTCCAAAAAGGTTTGGGTAGTCTTTCTTATAGGCGCGGCGCGGCGCGGGAACACAACTCAACTCTGTTCGGACAACTCAAATGTTGTTATCACGCACAGTGCTGGTTTACAAGTACTGTAGTCAAAATGGCGAGCAACTGTGATAGGCTCATACAAGGCGCCACGTCGGACGCAATATTCAAGTGGCTAGAGAAGAGCCCGGCTTGCCTGCTCCCTCCTTATGCTTCCATCGGTGCTCCCACTTCATTTTATGGTTGTTTTTTTTTCTTTCTAATCTAATCATCCCCTGATTTTAAGGGGGCGGGGTCAGGCCTTATTTTGTTCTAATCAAATCAAGCCACGTACGCGGAAGCACGGATGGGCACACGCCGGTGGAGCAGGCAAGTCTCGTCCGATTTTCCCTGGTGCCTAGCAAGAGCAGGTTCTGTCAGGCAGCCGCCGCGCTCGTTCCCTCTCTCTCTCTCTTTCTCTCGCTCTCGATGAACTCACAAGAGACAGTGGTTTTGCGCAGCGCACAACTTGTTGCTTTTTCCGTTTTCTCTTCCTCTTATTCAGTAAGGCAACAACTGTCCCGACCGATTCGCACGCCACAACCCCGTTCCTTCGAACGTGCCATCCCACGTTCACGAAGAGGGCGTGCTCACCGCGGTCACCTCCTACTCCTACTCGCGCACGGCACGCACAAACCACGGCCATGCACCTTATTACATGCAAAGCAAAGCTAAAGAACCGGGGAAACCGGCTCAACTACGATCGGTTCAGGGTTTAACTAACATTGCCTCCCTACATCCTGAACCACTACTGGATTTGAACCACACCAATTTCTTCTCGGAGTTCCTGAAACTTGACACGCCCGAGTGCCTTCGTCAGGATGTCGGCGAGCTGTCCACTGGTGCCGATGAACTCAACCTCAACACGCCCGTCTTCAACACATTCGCGCAGGAAGTGAAACCTTGTGTCGATGTGCTTACTGCGATCATGGAAGACGGGGTTCTTGCTGAGGGAGATAGCTGCCTTGTTGTCGATCTTTAGCATGACATGTTCGGCCTCTTCGTTTTTCATGTCACCGAGCAGCCGCGTGAGCCACATGCCTTGGCAGGCCGCCGTTGCGGCGGCGATGTACTCTGCTTCGCAGGTGGACAGGGCCACCACTCGCTGCTTGTGTGATTGCCAGCTGATCAGACTCCGGCCGAGGAAGAAGAGGACGCCGGTCGTGCTCTTGCGGGTGTCGACGTCGCCAGCCATGTCGCTGTCGCTGAAGCCCACCAGAGTTGCCTCGGCCGCCCCTCTGGCGTAGAAGCAGCCGTAGTGCTGCGTCCCGGCTACGTACCTGATGATTTGTTTGAAGGCGGCGAGGTGCTCCGTCGTCGGGGCCTCCATGAACCGGCTCACATAGCCGACAGAGTACGCTATGTCTGGGCGCGTGTGCACCAGGTAGCGAAGTGCACCAACGATGCTCCGGTACGCCATCTCGTCCATGGCTGGTGCAGAGCTCACCCTGCTGAGCTTGAAGCGAGCTTCCATGGGGGTATGAGCAGGGTTGCACCCCACCAGGCCGGCCTTCTCGATGATCTTGCCGGTGTACGCTGCCTGGTTGAGGGAGATGCCGTTCGCCATCTGCTTTACCTCGATGCCAAGGTAGAAGCTCAATAAGCCCAGGTCGCTCATGCGAAATTGCTTCTGCATCTCCTCCTTGAACTTGCTGATCTCGTCGTCGTTGTTCCCCGTGATGATGAGGTCGTCCACGTACACGCCGATGAGCAGGCGTGCTGTTCCGTTCCCGTGTCCATAGACTGCATGCTCCGGCGGGCTCCTGGTGAACCCGAGTCCGAGGAGGCAGCGGTCCAGCTTGGCGTTCCACGCCCGCGGAGCTTGTCGCAGACCGTACAGAGCTTTGTCCAGACGGAGCACCTTGTGTTCTTCCCCGTCGATGGCGTAGCCCGGTGGCTGCATCACGTACACTTCCTCCTTCAAATCACCGTTGAGGAAGGCGCTCTTCACGTCCATGTGGTGGACACGCCAGCCCTCGTGCGCGGCGAGGGCGACTAGTAGGCGAACGAATTCGAGGCGTGCCACGGGAGCGAACACCTCCTCAAAGTCGACGCCCTGCTTCTGGACGACCCCCTTGGCCACCAAGCGCGCCTTGTGCTTCTGGACGTTGCCGCTGGCATCGTGCTTGAGCTTATACACCCACTTGAGCCCAATGGCCTTGTGGCCTGCAGGTAGCTCAGTGAGCCGCCAGGTCTTGTTGGCGATGATCGATGCCATCTCCTCGTCCATGGCGCGGCGCCATGTTCCTTCTTCCTCTGCTTCTGCAAAGGTCCTGGGCTCGTCGATCTCGCCAAGATAGAGCTCGTCCTCGTGGGCCAGCATGACGTAGTCCTCGTACTGCCGGTTCGGCTGCACGATCCCGTCGCGGGCGCGAGTCGTCATGCGATGTTGCTGGTGTTGTGGCTCTTCATAGTGCTCTTCAGTGTCGCCGGCGGGCTCGGCCGTGGCGACTGGACTTGTAGGGGTGGCGTGTTGCGGGCCGGGGGAGCCCGTGCCGCCCGTGCTCTCCTCCTGTGGCGCCTCAGAGTCTGTCGCGGCGTTCTTCTTCAGTGACGATGCGGCATCGTCAGGTTCTGTGTTCGCCAGAGGACGCGACGTCGTGCGCGTCACGGTGTAGGAGAAAGTGTCGACGGTGAACTCCACTCCTGCTGGTGCCGCATCGTTCGCCTCCCAGTCCCACCGTGTGCCCTCGTCGAAAATCACGTCGCGAGAGACGTGCACACGGTTGCGGGCTGGGTCGTAGACGTGGTACGCCGCCGTCCCCGGTTCGTACCCGAGGAGGATCATCGGCGTGCTCCGATCATCCAACTTCGCCGCATGGGGTTTCACCACCTTGACATGGGCGACACAGCCGAACACATGTAAGTGGCTCACATCGGGCTTGTGACCGTGCCATACCTCGTAGGGTGTCCTGCCGTCGACGCTCTTCGTCGGTGATCTGTTGAGGAGGTACACGGCGGTGGTGACCGCCTCCCCCCAAAACCGCGCCGGAACCCCCCTCGCCTTCATCAAGCTCCTCGCGGCGGCGATGATCGTCTGATTACGCCGCTCCACCACCCCATTTTGTTGCGGTGAGTAGGGCGCCGTTAGCTGGCGCCCCATGCCCTCCTCAGCGCAGAACGTGGTGAACGTGGCGGATGTGAACTCCCCTCCACGGTCCGTGCGGAGCAAGCGCAGCTTCCGCCCAGTTTCCACCTCAGCTCCGGCCTTGAAGTGCTTGATCGCCGTCGCGGCTTCGTCTTTAGTGGTGAGGAGCGTGAGCCACATGTAGCGGCTCAGATCGTCGACGAGAAGGAGGAAGTAGCGCTTGCCCCCGGCCGTGGCCGGCGCTATCGGGCCGCATAGATCACCGTGGACCAGGTCCAGCGGGTCATCTGCTCGCCACTTTGCCGCCTGCGGGAACGGAGCCCTCCTTTGCTTCCTCGCCAAGCAGCTGTCGCGGAGCTGCTGGGCGTGCTCGATCACCGGCAGACCCCGCACCATGTCTTGCCACGAGAGCCTTCGGAGCGCGTCAAAGTTGAGATGCCCGAAGTGTTCATGCCATCTCCAGGCATGCTCCCCGGCATGCACGGCGAGGCAGACCGGCTGGGTGGCGTCGAGGGTGACCACGTACAGGCGGTTCCGGGCGCGTTCGACTCGGATGAGGAGTCGCTGCTGCTGGTCGCGCAGGCACAGAACGCCATGCTCGATGAGGACCTAGCAGCCGTTCTCGTCGAGCTGGCCGAGGCTGATGATGTTGCTGCGGAGGCGGGGTATGTAATACACATCAGTCAGGGCTCGATGCTCACCGTTGCGGCACGCGAAGATGATCGTGCCGCGTCCTTGGATCTCCACGACGGATCCATCCCCAAACTTGACCGTGCCCGCAATGTCGGTGTCGAGCTCGGAGAACACGCCCTTGACGCCGGTCATGTGGTTGCTGGCTCCGGTGTCGAGGAACCAGACGTCGGCGGCGTGGGCCTCCCTGGAAAGGAAGACCTGGTCCTCGACCAGCGTCACGCTCGTGGGCGCGCCCGTAGCCCGCCGGCTCGTCGGGGCGTCACCGTGCGCCGCCTGAGCCGCGTCCGGCGGCTGCACCGTGGCCATCAGCAGTGCGGGTCCCCGCTCGTGGAGGGTGCAGGCCCTCGCCAGCAGGAGCCCCGCGTCGTCGTCGTCGATCCTGGCAAGGTTCGCCCTCGGTTGGAGCTGTGGTTGGGCCACCGGTGGCTGCGCCGGCGTCGGCTGGCCCTGGCCCTTTCGCTCCCGTCGTGGTTCCTTGCAGTCCCTGGAGAAATGCCCGAGCTTGTTACAGTTGTAGCATTTCACCTTCGTCATGTCGCGCCCCCGGCGCTGCCCGTTGCCGCCTCCCTGCAGCTTGCCCTGACGTTGACCGCCGCCCGATGAACCTTGCCCCTGCTCCAGGTAGCCCTTTCGGGCGTTCCACTCCTGTTTCGTGAGCAGGAGCTGCCCGCCGTGGCCTTTCGCGTCGACGCCGTAGCATTCTTCGATGGAGCGGAGGCGGCCGACGAGCTCCTCCACCGTCAGGTTCCTGAGGTCGAGTAGGGTCTCGATGGCGCAGGCGATCTGCGTGTATCGGGCCGGCACGACACGCAGAAACTTCTGCACCACACGCACCTCCTCCACGTTGTCGCCCAGCGACCGAAGATTGTTGACGAGGGTGGTGATGCGCATGGCGAAGCCGTCCAGGATTTCTCCGTCCCTGAACGTGATCTGCTCGAAGTCAGACCGGAGACGCTGCGCCGTGGCCTCTCGGACGCGGGTGACGCCCATCCGCATCGTGCGCACAGCCTCCCAAGCCTCGTAGGCGGAGTTCTTGACGGCGAGAACGCCGTGCATCTCCGGGGGCACAGCCCGGATCAACGCGGCGAGCGCCGCCA